ATCTGGGTGCCTCAGACAGAGCTCCTGACCTTTCTCTATCTGAGATAGACCAGACTTCTCCCAAGTGCAGTGCCAACTGAGATAGAAGAACTTTCAGGCCAGGTGCGGTGGCTTATGCCTGAAATCCAAGCACTTTGGGAGGTCAAGGCAGGCAGATCACGAGGTCAAGGGTTCGAGACCAGGCTCATCAACATAGTGAAACCCCATCTCTACATAAAATACAAAAAATTAGCCAGGTATGGTGGTGCATGCCTGTAATCCCCAGCTACTCAGGAGGCTGAGCGGGGGAGGAGAATCTCTTGAACCTGGGAGGTGAAGGTTGCAGTGAGCTAAAATCACGCCACTGCACTCCAGTCTGGGCACCAGAGCAAGACTCCATCTCAAAAAAAAAAAAAAAAAAAAAAAAAAGAACTTTCAAAGGTAAAAATGTTAACACCACAAAGAAAAATAACACAATTGAGTGGTGGAAGAAATGAAAAGGTGGGTGTTAGTCTTGTCAACCAACACCTGCCCTTGGGAGAATCCGCCCTTGCCCGTGCTTATCACAGATTGGTAGCAGTGGTGTGGTTTGTATATATGAAGACAGCTGGGTATGGGTTTTGTATTTGCTTCCTTGGATGCTACTTCTGGTGAGCTCAGCAATAAGAACTATCCTTTATTATGGTACCCAGCTGTTCCGTACTGGAAGAGCAGCCCTGTCTCCCACAGAGTCTGCTATTTGCTGAAAGCGGAAGGTTCATCAGTCAGTCACCCTTCTCTTTAGGGCACCTGCTGCCTGAGCATGATGAAGCATCTCCACCTCCAAGCCCCACCCTTTCATTCCTTCCACCCAATTCTCTTATTTTTCTTGGTGGTTAACATTTTACCTTTGAAAGTTTTTATATCTCAATTTTAAGTTTTTATCTGTTATGTTTTGCCCTTCCCACAGCTAGAAAAAGTGAAGACATTGGTGTAATATAGACAGGCTCCCACGGCTCCCTCTGCCGTGGGGTTTCTCTCTCTGCCGTTTCTGCCTCATCTGGGTTTCCGTCCCGTGCGCTCTGTTCCCTAACTCCCGTCCCTGTGTTGGTTTCAGTCCACGCTTTGATCAGTGCTCACTGCTGGCACATTTTCTTTGGGTTCTCCAGTCATTTCTTAGAATGGCCAAAGGTCATCCTCTGGTATTTTCTCCAAAAAAGGATTTACCTACTTGGAAGTTCAAAAATGTTTTTTCCATTGGCTAAGTACTTGAGCAAGCATTTAGTTGATAGAAATTCCCTGGGCTGCATGTTCTACCTTTCTGTCTATCTGTATCAGCGTCGCTCACTCCAGTACCCGTAGGGAGAGGCTGCTGCAAAGACATGTACACAGCCCAAGCTCTTATCCCTTTTCCCGTTACCTGTGCTGGCTACCCAAAGCATGTTCAGCGTTATCTTTGAAACCCAGTAACTTTATCAGGACATGCCTCTGCATGCATTGTTTGGCACCAGTTTTTCTTGGGGCTTTGCTTTTCAATCTGAGAATAAGACCTTCCACCATTTCAGGTTAGGGTCTTGAATTTATATTCAAATGCCTTTTCTTTTCTTCTTCTCCTTCTTCTTTCTTCTTTCTTCTTTCTTCTTTCTTCTTCTTCTTCTTTTTTTTTTTTTGAGACGGAGTCTTGCTCTGTCACCAGGCTGGAGTGCAGTGGTGCAATCTCGGCTCACTGCAACCTCTGCCTCCTGGGTTCAGGCAATTCTCCTGCCTCTGACTCATGAGTAGCTGGGGCTACAGGTGCACACCATCATACCCAGCTAATTTTTGTATTTGTCTTTTAGTACAGATGGGCTTTCACCAGGTTGGCCAGAATGGTCTCGATCTCTTGACCTCATGATCCGACTGCCTTGGCCTCCCAAAGTGCTGGGATTCCAAGCTTGAACCCACGCCCTGCCAGTGCCTTTTCTTGTACACCACTTTAGTTCCTTTCTTTGTGAGTCTTGTGCTTCTAACCCAGCTCAGACTCTCTGACCTTCACAAACATTGACCTCCTCATTGGAAAAGTGGAAAAAATAGAGAAATCCCCCTCCTGTCTGCCTCCCAGGCCGCTATGAGACTCGGGATGACAGGAACCAGATCACTTGGTCATTTGCAATGCATGAAGTGAATGCCGGCTGGCTGTCGATCTAGAAGGCATCAAGGTGACTACAAGCATTCATGTAGTCACCGCATCTGTTGAGTAATGAAAACGAGTCCCAGGAACTGTGACTGCTTGGCTTGGGCACACAGAGCAGTGCAGGTGGCAGAGCTTGGATGAGAGGCTGCCGTGCTAATGTCTCCTTTGCCATCATTCCCCTTTTCTTCGTTCTTAAGCTGACGACAAAGGTAGCCACTCCTGACTCCCAACGGTATAGCTTGATGTTTCTTGTTTTTCAACTGTACGTAAATGGAATTGTACAGCATTCCATTGTTCTGATACACCGTAGTTCATCTGTTCTGCTCTTAATGGGCATTTGGGTTGTTCCCAACGTGGAACTAATGCAAATGGTGTTTCAGTGAACTTCCTTGATAATGTCTTTGGTGAACACATACACATATTTTTTGTTACATACTTATGTTTGGAATTGCTGGGTATTAGAATGTGTGTGTCTTCAGCTTTAGCAAATACTGCCGAAGAGTTTTCCAAAGCTGTTGAACCGAGTTAAAATCTCATTCTCAGTATACAAGAGCACCCATCGTGCCGCGTTCTTGCCAGTGAATGAATGGTACTTTCCATCTTCTTCATTCTGGCCATTCTCATTGGTGTATCAAGGTGTCTAGTGGTGATTGTAATTTGCCTTCCCTGACGACTAAATAAACTGAGCACTTTTTCATATGTTTACTACCCATTTAATCATTCTCTTTTATGAAGTGTCTATTCAAGACTTTCTGCCCATTTTTCTACTGGGTGTTTTTCGTAATTGATCGGAAGGATTTTTTGTTGTTTTAAGTCATGTTTTGGATACAAACACTTCATTGGTTATACACCTTACAGATCTATTATGTATTGCAAACATGTTGTGTTCTTGCAGTTGCCTTCTGGAAAACAGAAGTTGTTAATTTTCATATGGTATAATTCATGAGTTTTCTTCCTTCTTGGATAGTCCTTTTTGAGTTCTGTTTAAGAAATCTTTGCCTAACCTCATTCTTCTTTCCTTTGATGATTAGAAAAGTTTCATGAGAAAGCACTGTCTATAAAATGCATAACAGACAGTTGACACCACCTTCTTCCTCTTTGTCCTGATGGAGCCCTCATTTCTGCTAATCCCAAACACTCCTGCCTCATAAATTCTCCCCTGGTCAGCCTTGTCTTGTGAGCACATGTCTGCACACGGATGCCACACTCTCAAAGAGCTCTCAGGTCAGAGTGCAGGGAATCAAACATTTGATGAGGTGCAGTCGGTCTTTATAGGACCAGCTGTGCTGCTCTAGGGTTCTCATCTTTTTACCATTCCTTTGAGAGGTGAACAATCAGGGGAACACGCAGGCTTTTGTGAACCCCATGTGCAGTATTCCACTTGAGTGATCCACTTCTTCAGGGGCACAGATCAGCTCCGACATACTTGAAAAATGACATGTAGCTGTGGGCTTTTCTCAGGTCTTTTGAAAAGCTCCCTCCAGCTCTGCCTTCCCTCCCTTGCTTATTTTTGTCCCTTCAACTTCCGAAAATTTTAGACAGCACAGTTGCATGTCTATTCCATGCAGATGTTTGAGATTACTTGGAACAGCAGCCCTCTAAACTGAGCATGGCACACCCTTTGCAAACCACGTGGTGACCACGCTGCAGCAGCCACAGGCGCTCCTTGACCTTTATATGGCCCATTTTGAAGCAGCGGGTCCCTGCCCACACCCTGGAGGGTGATGTCTTCCTTCTCCAACTTGGGCCTTTTAGCCATGATGGGGTTTGTCATCCTGGAATTACTGCATCTTTAAAAGATCTTTAATTGCATCTGTTCTCAGTTTTCAGACCATAAGGCCAGGAACTGGGTGCAAGCAGTTTATCTGGGAAGTGATCCCAGGAAGCGTGGTGAGGGGGCGAGGGAGAGAGAAGCCAAGAAAGGCGCATTTGTGAGTTAGTGACTGCCGTTGGCAGTGAGGCCACCCCCAGGGCCCCCGAGAGGCGTGTGGGACTTGTCTCAGTGTCCTCTCCCTGTCCCCGGGTGGGATGGGGAGTTACCCAGCTTCTGTCCCTCATGGTTGAGGTCGCTGTCCCCATGAGTCCTTCAAGAGGGGACACTGGCTAAGTCTGCCTTCATGATTCTGATAAATTGTCTCCTGAGCACTTTGGCGATGCCCAGATTTCCTAATGATACAGTTAAGAGTCTGTGTTTAAATGCCAGTTGAATTATTTTAATTGTACATTTGTAGATGTTGTGAACATTCTCTAAGCGAAGTACTGTAAAAAATTGTGCACAGCTCAGCTAAGCTAGAAACAGTTGACCACAGGGAGAAAGAAGGTTGCCCCTGTAACCCTGTGGGGGTATGGGCCCTTCGCGGCCCTTTGAGCTGTCATTTGCTGGCCTCGCAATGGCTGCCCACCCATCTGGTCTTGAATTCAGTGCTGCCTCTTCCAACAAGGCCTCCCTGATGAGGTTTGCTTAGATCCTTCTACTGTCTGTCCCAGACAGTCCCTGGTATCTGCCTGAACCCTCACCGCTGTAAGTGGAAGGTGTCTGTCTGCTCATTCCTGCTGGGAGGCAGGCGCCGCTGCTGCTGGCCTGTGCTGTGCCTCTGATACCTCCTACGCCCTCCGTGGTCGTTGGAGCTGTGGAACTCAACCCCGTGAGATGAGCCCTCCTCGGAGGAGATGCACAGAACGTTGTTGTGCTAAATGAACCAGTTCAAGGGATGCGCTTAGTTTTTGGACCTACAAACTCATGACCCTCCGGCTTCCCCACACGTTTCGAATCTCACATTTGAAATAGTGGATGGACCACACGTCTGACCCCAGATGTGACCTGAGCGTGGGTGTTCTCCACAACTCCGTTCCTTCCCTTGTTCCGCAGCATCTGATGTGCGCCGGACTGTGGTGCCTGGTAGAAGGAGACACGTCCTGCAAGACCAAGCTGGACCCTCCCCTGGATGGCACCGAGTGTGGGGCAGACAAGGTAACCCCGGCCTCCCACTGCCCAACAGGCAGCTCCACACCTCCCAGGCAGCTGGCACTCTCCTCAAACACGGTCTGTACTCAGGAGCCCCAGAAACATCCCCCAGGCACAACAGAAATGCCCATGGAGCCTACTCCAGGCACAGAGTGGTGCCTATGTCGCCTCTTTCCTTTTTCCTAGAAGATACGGCCGGGCGCAGTGGTTCAGGCCTGTCACCCCAGCACTTTGGGAGGCCGAGGTGGGTGGATCACAAGGTCAAGAGACTGAGACCGTCCTGGCCAACATGGTGAAACTCCGTCTCCACTAAAATAGAATCTGGGCATGGTGGTGCACGCCTGTAATCCCGACTACTCAGGGGGCTGAGGCAGGGAATCGCTTGAACCCGGGAGGTGGAGATTGCAGTGAGCCAAGATCAGGCCACTGTACTCCAGCCTAGGCAACAAGAGCAAAACTCTGTCTCAAAAAAGATACAAGTACCAGTTACTTAATATGTTTGTTAGATTCACTCCTGTCACCATGTAAGGGAGTTTACTTAAAAGGAGCACTTTAGACCAGCATATTTTAAATGGAAAAACAACATCACCTGCCATACATAGTAGGCTCTTGTGAAAAGAATTCAGTGAGAACAGTATTATCCAATTCTAGCTAAATGCTGAGAGAAGTAGCCTGCCCGTCCCCTCCAGGAGAGATGGGGGTTGCTGGAGGGAGAGGTGTGCGGAACCCTCAGCCCCAGGACTCTTTCCAGTCTTTTTTTATTTTTTGATACTGAGTTTCCCTCTTGTTGCCCAGCCTGGAGTGCAATGGCATGATCTCAGCTCACCACAACCTCCGCCTCCTGGGTTCAAGCAATTCTCCTGCCTCAGCCTCCCGAATAGCTGGGATTACAGGCATGCGCCATCACACCCTGCTAATTTTTGTATTTTTAGTAGAGACAGGTTTCTCCATGTTGGTCAGGCTGGTCTTGAACTCCCGACCTCAGGTGATCTGCCTGCCTGGGCCTCCTGAAGTGATGGGATTATAGGCATGAGCCACTGTGCCTGGCCTCTCTCCAGTCTTAATGCAGGGATTGAAAGAGTTGAAAAGGAAGTCGAGTTTAGCTCTGATGCCGTGATTGGGAACCATGAAATCACATCCAGCACCTCAGGGTGGGTGCTGTGCACTTTGAGAAATTGTTTTATAGGGCTGGCCTTCTCTTATCCTCGGAAAGAACCAAGGTTTCCTCAGGTGGAGCTGGCTGTCATCACCAAGCAACAGACCCCACTGTGAGGTTCAAAACCTCAACCAGGCATGCCGCCTCCCAGCGAGAAATGCTCTCACGCCAAGCAAAGTTTGCAGAAGCCCAGGTCTCTTCATGAGCCATGTAAATTAGGCCTCTTCCTGGGATTTAGAAAATCCCAACGGAGCTCATCTATCTGAAAGCTTAGGGCAAAATGCAAACCCTACAGGGAAATAAGTGTCAGCTTCAGTAAGGCACGTCACTAAAATCAGCAAACATGCAAACCCTGAAATAGACTGGACTTTGATGTAAATGTAGAAAGTGGGTTTTTCGCAGCATGGCGTTGCGGGGCCGGGTGGGCTGGAGTGAGCAGCTTTGCTGAATGGCAGGCCCCAGCCCTCCCTGCTGTGTTTCAGTGGTGCCGTGCAGGGGACTGCGTGAGCAAGACGCCCATCCCGGAGCACGTGGACGGAGACTGGAGCCCGTGGGGCGTCTGGAGCATGTGCAGCCGAACTTGTGGGACGGGAGCCCGCTTCCGGCAGAGGAAATGTGACAACCCCCCGTAAGTCCCCCTGACCAGCCACGCCTCAGCGTGCCGCAATCAGGGTTTCCCAACTGCAGCTCTCGCTGCCCACACAAAGCAGGGTCTGTCTCCCGCTGAGCATAAGAAGATAAGGAAAATGAAACTGAGCCGAGATCCAGGGTGCCGGGGCCTCGTGTGTGTCAAATGACATCTCAGCTTCAATCGCTCTTTCTATGAACGTGGATACAGTAGAGTCTGGGTTGAGCTGACTCCCTCATTCCTTGCCTGGGCCCCAGTGGAAAGGGTTTCTGAGTCAGCTGGATTACAGTTCCTCCTGCCTGCCTCATCGTTTGCCAAGTCGAGGGTCATTCCCACGAAGCCTGGAGGCCTTCAGGAAAGAGGTTGTTGACCTTCACATTGGCTCTCTGCTGATGTGGGAGCAGGCTGGTGGTTCATGAGTCACAGAGTGTCTGAGTTCAGCTGCCTTCTTCATCCTAAGAGTTTTCGTGGGTCCTTCTATAACTATCAGAAAAATAAGTGTTTTTTTCTTTCTCTTTGGCTTCTTTTTATTGACTCTAATGACACCATGGCCTTTCCTGTCCAGCTTTGTACATTTGTTCCAGGAAACCCAGGGATCGATTTTGGGCTCAATGATGTTAATTCCATCACTGCAGATTTTCCCTTGTCTTCTTGGAGCTTTCCACGTTTCTTACCATTTCTTTCTTTCTTTCTTTCTTTCTTTCTTTTGTTTTTTTTTCTTTTTGAGATGGAGTCTTGCTCTGTAGCCCAGGCTTGAGTGCAATGGTGCAGTCTCAGCTCACTGTAACCGCGCCTCCTGGGTCCCAGTTCAAGTAATTCTCCTACCTCAGCCTCCCGAGTAGGTGGGTTTACAGGTGTATGCCACCACACCCATCTAATTTTTGTATTTTTAGTATAGATGGGGTTTCACCATGTTGGCCAAGCTGGTCTTGAACTCCTGATCTTCTGATCTGCCCACCTTGGTTTCCCAAAGTGTTGGGATTACAGGCGTCAGCCGCTGCGCCCAGCCGCCATTTCTTTTAATGGTCTCTTTTATGCCTGGTGTATCAGCAGTTGCATCACCTCAGTTCTGAAAGTGAGCAGGTTATAAATAATGACTATAGAGAAATAGCCACAATTAAGTCCTGTTGATAGATAATTAGCAAATGCCTCTTGTGTTTAAAAATCCTGATGCTCAGATCATACCCCAGACTGATCAAATCACAGAACACTAGGGGTGGGACCCAGAAATTGGATATTTTATCTTCCCAGGTGACTCAACAGCAGCCAGTGTTGGGAACCTCTGGATTCAAGGAAGGTTTATGCTCCTAGTGTAGTCAGTGACAGGAACACGATTTTCCCAGCAATGTTACAGGAATTGACATTATGTATTATGTCTTACCAAAACATTTCCCTCTAGCACCCATCAGAGTGCAGGGCACATAGCAGGTGATTAGTTGATTAGGAATGACTTCTGTTCTTTTTTTTGAGATGGAGCCTCGCTTTGTCCCTCAGGCTGGAGTGCAGTGGCACGATTCTGGCTCACTGCAACCGCTGCTTCCCAGGTTCAAGCGATTCTCCTACCTCAGCCTCCCAAATAGCTGGGATTACAGGTGTGTGTCACGATGCCAGCTAATTTTTGTATTTTTAGTAGAGATGGGGTTTTGCCATGTTGGCCAGGCTGGTCTCGAACTTCTGACCTCACATGATCTGCTTGCCTCGGCCTCCCAAAGTGCTGGGATTACAAGCGTGAGCCACCACGTTCAACCCAGAAATGACTTTTTAATTAAGGGCATAGATGGGTAGATGATTAGAAACTCTGTTTAGCTAAATGGTGGGAAACTATTAGAGAGTGGTGGCAGTTTTTGCATTACTCTGTGTTAATGTTGATAGTTTGACCTCTGGCCCTCTGAACAGAGCATTGGGTTTGACGTCATGGTGCTGAGATTTGGGCCTGATCTTGTTGGTTAATGGTCATGTGACCTCGAGGAAGACCCTTCTGTTCCCAGGCCTTAGTTCCGCACAGTAGAGGCAGCCGACGTGGTAGAGTTGGAAGAGCCGGGCTTCAAAGCCAGGACAGACAGATTTTCACATCCCACCACAACTTCTTACAGCGCTGACGGCTGGTGCTTCTCTCTTCATCTAAAACCTGGAAGAATTCATGGGAATGCGCAGAAAGTTCTTGGTGTGTATTTAGAAGGCAACCCCTCTCGTTAGCACAGACAGAAGAATGGGGATGGGACTCATTGCCCTTCCCTGCCTCAGGCTTTGCTAAGTGCAGAGAGAAATTGTCAGGGGTTGCCATGGGTGCCCCATGTTTGTGATTGGAGTTTGTGGGTCCTAGTGGAAAACTGGTCTTCTTGGCATGTGATGTTTCTTATCCCATAACCGGTGACATCCAGTAAACATTATAAAAGGAGGAAGTCAGAACCTCTGAATGCCTGAAGGACCCAGTGTCCTGAGACTGTCAACATTTAAATTGTCTGTAGGTGAGGGCAACAGTTGCAACAATAAGAAGTTCTGAACACTGCAAATGCCGTCGGCGCCTCTTTGAAGCGAACCGGTGTTGTCTGCTTTTTTGGGGTGACTTTAGCTAGGGGATGCCCCTCGTGCGCAGCCTGAAGGCAAGACTTGGAGCTTTTTGGCTTCGTGTCTTGGCTGGACTGCTGTCACTTTCTGAACTGCTTCCTGCCCTGCCCACCCGCGGTTACTCTCGGAGACCACAGGAGCATTTTGCTGTGGGAGGGTCCCACACACAGCCCCCTTCAGACAGCTGCACTCGGATACTCTCCCTGGCCTTCCCTTCCATGAGGTTTCTTGTATTGGGATCCTCACCCCATTCCTCCAGGTCCAGTGGCCCTAGGAGAGAGGCTGTTCTGTAAATTGCAAAGTCGGAAAACTCTCTCACTCATCTTCAGCAGGCCCTCCGCTCTCCCTCGCTGTGGTGGTCGTGACTGTTCTCTCCCTGCTTTTTCCTCTGCGTTACCACTGAGGAATGGGAGAATCTGTAGGGCCTTGGCACACGGACAGCTGAGGGTTTATGGGTCTCAGCACATTGGATTGTTACAGGCATTGCTGCACCTTCATGTCCAGTCTCTGCTGCCCAGCAGCGGCATCCTGTGGGGCAGGGCGATGGTGGAAGGAACAGAGAGAGCCTGTCTCGTTCTCTCTCCTCCCAGCCCACGCCCCTTCCTGGTGAAGCCTTTCCAAGGTGAAGCCTTAAGTAAACCTCGCCTGGGCCTGAACTCTGCTAGGTGTGGGCCTGCAGTAAGAAGCAAAGACAAATAAAATTCCTGCCTACCACAAGGGATGCAGTCCCGCCTCCTCCTCTTGCTTTTCCCCCAGACACTTCAAACACGACCCTTTCTAACTTGGGGCCTCCTTCCCCAGCCCACATCTCCCCTCTCAGTAAACAGCACCACCATCCATGCACTGCTAGAGTCCAAAGCCCCTGAATCCACGCAAAGCCCCTGAATCCACAAAAACCCCTGCATCCACGCAAAGCCCCTGAATCCACGCAAAGCCCCTGAATCCACACAAAGCCCCTGAATCCACCCAAAGCCCCTGAATCCACGCAAAGCCCCTGAATCCACGCAAAGCCCCTGAATCCACGCAAAACCCCTGAATCCACGCAAAGCCCCTGAATCCACGCAAAGCCCCTGAATCCACGCAAAGCCCCTGAAGCCACGGAAAGCCCCTGAATCCACGCAAAGCCCCTGAAGCCACGCAAAGCCCCTGAAGCCACGCAGCTTCCTCTTGCGTCCTTTCCACCTCCTCCATGTTTGGTGGTGAGAAGGGTGGTGAATGCAGCAGACCCACACCATGCGCCGGGTTCACTTAGGCGTTTATGTAGCAAATCATGGAGTGCAGCCCTATGGAAGAGGTATTATTTTTGTCTTCATTGTACAGAAAAACAAAAAAAAAACAATCAGGGGGCCCAGCCTAGTGGCTGACGCGTGTAGTGTCAGCACTTTGGGAGGCTGAGACGGGTGGATCACCTGAGGTCAGGAGTTCAAGACCAGCCTGGCCAGCATGGTGAAGCCCTGTCGCTACTAAAAATACAAAAATTAGCTCGACATGGTGGTGCAGCACCTGTAATCCCAGCTACTCAGGAGGATGAGGCAGGAGAATCGCTTGAACCTGAGAGGTGGAGGTTGTAGTGAGCTGAGATCGTGCCACTGCACTCCAGCCTGGGTGACAGAGCACACAGAGCGAGACTCCATCTCTATTAAAAACAAAAACAAACCTGAATCATATTGAAGTTTGGTAGCTTGCCCAGGGTCACACAGCGAGGCTGTGGCCGGCCAGGCTGGGAGCCCAGCTCTAGAAACCAGAAGTCCACAGTCAGGGTGTCAGCATAGTTGCTTCTTTCTTGAAACTCCAGGGGTGACTCGGTTTCGCGGCTCCCAGCAACCCTTGGCCTCCCTGGCTTGGAGACGTCCCACCTCTCTCTCTGCCTCTGACTTCCTGTGGTCTTTCCATGTGTCCTCTCGCCTTTCCTCCCCTTAGAAGAATGCTTGTCGTTGGATTAGGCCCGCCCGAATCCAGGATGATCTCAGGATCCTTCGCTTCATGAGTCTGCCAAGACCCTTTTGCCAAATAAGGTCTCATTTGCAGGTTCCAAGTGGGCCTGCCTTTCGGGGGTGGGGGACCCACCATCCAGCCGTCTGCAGCCTCGAAGCCTCCTTTGTGCTCCTCCACCGCGGCGTTCCCACCCCAGTGCTGGCTCCCTCTCCTTAGCTTGCCCCTGCGCTTCCTGCTCTGCCCGTCCGCGGTTACTCAAGGATTTTGCTATGGGAGGATCCCGGACACAACCCAGTTCAGACAGCTGCAGTTTCTCCCCAGTAAGAGAAGCCATGCCTTTTTGCTCCTGTAATATTTACCCCTTGGTAGTCTGTTGGAACCTTTGCAGTGACAGTGCAGCTCTGTTTTCTGTTGTGAACAGAACAACATGGTCTTTTTTCCCAAAGAGTTTTCTTTTATGATCGTTACAATTATACTTTCAATTCTGGGATACACGT